CTCCGGGCCTGAATATCCCTGTAGGCTGTCGCCGCTGGGCCCGTCTACCTCAGCGGGCTGCTGCTGGGCCCGTCTACCTCCGCGGGCCGCCGCCGCAGGCCTACCTGCGTCTGCTTGTCTCTGCCGCCGGGCCTGTCTCTGATGTATTCTTTGGTAGTGCAAGTCGAACAAACTCTGACAGCCATGATGAGTCTTCAGGAAAGGTGAAACCTCAGAGCAGGAAATTCCTTGAGGTGGGAAAGTCTGGTGCAAGAATGGTAAATGAAAATATGTATCTTTACTGTTCTGCTGGGGATGCCTTCATGCAACCTGCAATGCCAACCCAGGATTGGGAGTCAACAATATTCCAGGTCTCAGAGGGCAGGAAAAGGAACAACATCCTCAGAGGGTTTATAGCAGCCTGCACACCTCAGCCAAGGCTGCTGGTCAGTCCTAACCAACTGGATTCACCAGACTCAAAACTGCTTCTAAAGAGCACCAGAACCCATAAGAATTTACAGAAAAACAAGGTCTCAGTGATGAATAATTTCTTTCATCTTACGTTAAATCTGGGATTACTTAGGCAGGTCAAAAGCAGCCCACTAACAAACCTGCTAAATGGACAGTTAAAAGCATGATCAATAATACAAAAATTTGGAGGTTAGGCATGAAATGTAATAAAAAAAAATGAAGCAACTGACATGTGAAGACCAAATATCTGTGGCTCGTTATGGTTTGCCTTTGAGCAAGGCACAGTGATTTTGACATTGTGTCTTCACCTGTGAAAGGATCCTAGCGAACATGCTGGTCTCTAGGAACCTTTCCATGTTAGATCTGTTATTCCAGTAGAAAACTCAATGCTCAACCTTTCCAGGATCGCTGTGTCAGTGTGTTCTTGGTATGCACTATTATTCATAAGAATAGTGGGAACCTCGGGACAGAAACACTGTCTATATGCTAAACCATCTTCAGTTACCATGTTTTTGCAGCAGGAAAAAGCACGCAGAATCATACAAACCTGTGCCAAATCATGTCTCCTCCACGTTTCCCAGTGTGAGAGGCATCGAGCACAAAGAATCAGACTTGGTTCTTGCTTATAGGGAAATGTGTGCTCAGCAGTGGCTTCATCTCTTTAACCTCAAATCTGGGATATATAGGACTTAGGTAAAGGAGTTCAGAACAGAGCTATAAAAATAGAGAGGGAGGTGGAAAGTATGCAACCTTTATGTTTTTGGTCTTTTGTTTGTTGTTTTGTTTTTTGTTTTTGAACAATGTAAATGTATTCCCTATTTTGATGCATAAATTCTAAAAATACTATTGAAAACAAAATCATCACAACATTTGCTTGTTTTGTACAGCAGAGTGTGAAACTCAAGGCTTTGGGAATGCCAAACAAACACTACTGAAGTATATCCCAGTCTCCAATAAATGTTTATCTCTCAGCCCAAAGCCCTTTACATCCCCACCTCAGTTTCCTCTCCCTCCTCTCCTCCAAGTCCTTCCTCCCACATCCCCTCTGCCACCCCTCCCAATGGACTCTTTCTCCATTTCTATTCAGAAAAGGGCAGGTCTCCCAGGGCTCTCCACAAAACATGGTAAGACTAAGAACCTCCCCTTGTATTAAGACTGGGCAAAGCAACCTAGTACAAGGAGTAGGATCCCAGAAGGGAGCAAGAGTTGGAGACAGCCCCTGCTCCCACTGTTAGGAGTCCCACAAGAACACACTAAGGTCACATATGTGCAGAGTGCCTTGGTCAGTCCCATGCAGGTTCCCTAGTTGTCAGTTCAGTCTCTGAGAACCCCTAGGTTCACATGAGCCTAGGTCAGTTGATTCTGTTGGGTTTCTTGTGAGGTCCTTAACCCCTCTGGCTACTACAATCCTCCTCATCTTCCACAGGATTCCTGGGCTTGGCCTAATGTTTTGATGTGGGTCTCTGTATCTGTTTTCATCAGTTGCTGGATGAAGCCAATGACTGATCTATCCTGAGACCCAAGCCACAAGAGTTCAAGCCCATCCCTGATACTGCTTAGAGCTCCAGGGCCCAGTGGCTGGATGACCCAGAGACCTAGCACTGAACCAAGCACACATGCCCTCGAGTTTGGATACCCCTTTTCAGGGTTATTCGATCACAACCTTTCACTACCTTTGAGCTATTTGATAATCAACAGTGAAGCACATGGCACATAACATTGGAAATGCAAACGAATTGACTGGTGGAGGGAAAGCCTTTATTCCATGGAAAAAGCCCCTCCTGTGTCCATTTGAAAATCCATTTCTATATTCCTGATTTATAAATGGTATCTATCCTCTGGATTCTCCTTTGAACTCACTATAGTATCTTTTTGACAATGAGTTAAATAAGATCTTTAGCATGCATTTTTTTTTCTTTTCATCTGTGTGAAAGTCATGAATCTCACCTCTTGAAAAGAACCCAGTAACACCAGGAATTATGAGGATTTGTACAGCTGCCTCTCATCAAGCTATCTGG